CCTTTGATGAGTTCTCTTTTTATTTTAAAAGTCTCTCTTCACCTCCGTCTCCATCCAATCTTGTCAACACTCCTAGTACATTTAATGTTCCTATTGTTTGTGACCCTCTAACTGTGTCTTCTTCACCATTAGTTTCTGCTCCGCAGTCAGCTTCTTCTTCACCGTTTCTTCAGGTTTATAGTTGCTGAAACCAATCACAACCACCACCATGTGACTCCACTCAAGTGTCAACTACTCTGTCTCCTCCTGGTGTGACACCTGAGTCTGACCTTCCCATTGTCCTCCAAAAAGGCATCTGTTCTATACGTAATCCCTCTCCCCATTATATTTGTTTGAGTTATCATCGACTGTCATTACCTTTTTATACATGTCTTTCCTCTCTTTCTTCTGTGACCATTCCAAAAACTGTCCGTGAAGCTTTAGCCCATCCTGGTTAGTGTCAGGCCATGTTAGATGAACTAAGTGCTCTTCATAATAGTGGAACTTGGGAATTGGTCTCGTTATCGTCTGAGAAATCTGTTGTTGGTTGCAGGTGGATGTTTACTATCAAAGTTGGACCTGATGGTACTATTGATCGCCTCAAAGCTCGTATTGTGGCCAAATGTTATACTCAAATTTTTGGGTTAGATTATGGAGATATCTTTTCCCCCGTGACAAAGATGACTTCTGTTCGTTTATTTATCGTCATGACCGCTCTTCAACAATAACTTCTTTATCAACTAGATGTTAAAAATGTTTTCCTCAAAGGTGATTTGCAAGAAGAAATCTATATGGAGCAACCTCCTGGGTTTGTTGCTCAGGGGGAGTCTTCTGGGATGATATGTTGTCTTTGCAAATCCCTATATGGCCTAAAACAGTCTCCTAGAGCTTGGTTTAGAAAGTTTAGTAAGGTTGTTCAACAATTTGGTATGACTCGGTGTGAAGTAGATCACTCTGTCTTTTATCGACACTCGAGTGTTGTATGTGTTTACTTGATAGGATATGTTGATGACATCGTTCTTGTAGGTAGTGACAACCATGACATCTCTCAGTTGAAACAACATCTCTGTCACCATTTTTAGACCAAAAATCTTGACAAACTTAGATATTTCTTGGGTATTGAGGTGACACAGTCCAATGATGATATTGTTATATCTCAGAGGAAGTATGTCATGGATATTTTGGAGGAAACTGGGTTGACGAGTTCAAAGTCTGTTGATACACCCATGAATCCCAATACTAAAATTCTACAAAATCAGGGGGAGCTTATACCTAATTCTGAGCAGTATAGAAGATTAGTTGAAAAATTGAATTATCTTACAGTTACTCGTCTTGACATTTCCTTTGTAGTCAATGTAGTAAGCCAATTTCTTAATTCCCCATGTGAAGATCATTGGAATGCAATCATTCATATCTTAAAGTATATTAAATGATCTCTTGGAAAATGATTGTTATATGATTCTAATAACCATATAAGAGTTGTTTGCTACTCAGATGCTGATTAGGCAGGATCTCCTTCGAATAGAAGATCTACGTCTGGATATTTTTTCTCCATTGGTGGTAAATTGGTCTCATGGAAAAGTAAGAAATAGAGTGTTATGACAAGATCTAGTACAAAAACAGAATATAAGGCTATGACCTCAGCTGCCTGTGAACTTGTTTGGCTCAAGCAATTGCTTAGAGAGTTACAATTTGGAAATGTCACTCAAATGTCACTTGTGTGTGATAATCAGACTGTTCTTCATATTAGCTCTAATCCTGTCTTTCATAAGAGGACCAAACACATTGAGATTGACTGTTATTTCATTTGAGAAAAGATTATGTCTAGAGACATCAATATTGAGTTTGTTAACTCAAGTGATCAGTTAGCAAACATTTTTACTAAATATTTATGGGGACCTAGAATTGATCATATTTATAACAAACTTGACACATACGATTTGTATGCTGCTCCAGCTTGAGGGGAGTGTTGGATATTATTTAGATATTATTTGATATTGTTAACCATAATATCAAATAATATATTCTGTTTATTCTGTTATTTTTAGTTACTCTTTTAGTTGTATCTATCTATTATAAATAGATTACCCTAAGTGTGATTTATTAAAAAAAAGATTAATCTCAAATTTTATTTCTTCTATATTCAACATTTATGATCTATCAAATTAATTTAATTAAATATTTAAATTCAATGGCACCAATTTCTTTGCGTAATTATTATGGATTTTCACTCACAAAATTAGAAGTGTAGGTGGGTTACCCAACTTGCAAACCTATCAAACACAAGTTAATTCAATTACATTTTTCTTTCTGGGTTGAGTTGGGTAGGGTTGATTTTGTTCAATGCATTTAATTGGAAATGAATTGGGTAAGTGATCATGAAATTCAAATTTTTGTCTTATTTTGATGGAAAGGAGGACAGTGACTCGTTTTTTTTGAAACCCTAGAGTTCTTTCATCCCGTTATAGCATTAAATAATAATTAAAAATTGAAAAACATCGCTGAAAAAACAGAAAGTACTACATGCTGTCACATCCAGACCCAACGTTGAAAAAATAAAAGTGCAAGTAATTTCGAGTAGAGGCTGTAATTTAAAACAGAAATACTAATTTTGTACGAAAATGTTTTGGTCAAATCGGCACGAACTAAATTCTCTAAATAAGGTATTTTATTTATATTTTTTATTTCTAATTAATATTTATTGAATAAAATATTTCCATCCACGTAAAAGTTGGTATATTCCGTGCTAATTATTTTGTGGTCAATAGGTGAATTTAAAAAGGGTCCAATCAATAGAGCTTGGAGAATATAAAAAGGAAAGAGAACTAAATGTTTTCCATAAAAATGTGGTAGAATAGTAATTGAAGGAAGGTAAATACTAAGCCTGAAGCCAAAAGAGAAATACTAAACTTCTGCCATAAAGAGAAATACTAAAAATTGATCAAAAAGAAGAAGAAGAAGAAGAAAATGACAAATTTTTGCAAAGTTGATTTGCTTTTAAAAAAATACCTTGATAAAACTAAGCCTCAAGCAATCTCTATCACAACTCTTAAAGGGGCGATTCTTGTAAAAAATTAACCTTCTTAAGCTTCCACCATTGGAGGCAAACTCGTATATATTAAGCATCATATGCTTTATATATATATATATATATATATATATATATATATATATATATATATATATATATATATATATATATATATATATATATATATATATTAAATGAATAAATATCGTATAAATAACATATTTTTGAAGATATAAAAGTATCACTACGAGAAATTCTCATGGAAATATTTTTATAACTTTTTTTATTATAAAAAATAAGTTTCCTATAAATTTAAATAACTGTTTACAATAAAAATTACAAAAAATAATTAAATTTTGTTTAGTAGTGTATCAATAACTTTCTTTAAAAAAAACCGAATTGATAGGAAAAATTGCTTAGAAATAACAATAATTATAAATAATTTTATTTCAATTTTAAATTATTTTTTTAATTTTAAGTGATTTTGTGAAGTTTATAATAAAATATTTATTTCTATTTCTAAATAATTAAAGATATTTACTTTTTGCGTATGGTATTACGAGAATTTCATGAATATATTGATATATCTATTAAACATATTTTCTTACAATTTTTTTTATTAATTATGTTTCAACAATTAATTAAACTCGAATCAATTATGTTACCCATTAGATTATCTTTTAGAACAATAGCAACAAAGAAGCATTAATATTTTTTTAAACTGAAAAATAAAAGAAGAAAAATGTTACATCCTAACAATGTTGCAAATTCTAAGTCAAATTATGACAATTTTATCTCTATTTTGTTTCTAAAGTTTACATAACGCACCGATTTTAAATTGTGCCCTTAAGATAGAAAACATGTTTAAATTGATAATAAAAAAAATTAAGACGATGGAAAATAAATGAAATTATAGAAAAAAATAGTGATAAGGATGTGTAATATTTATTAATGTGTACATATTTAATATTTGTATGTTTGATCAATTAACAAAACTAATAAATACTCTTTAATTTTTAAATCAATATAAAGGAAATATTAATAAATTAACTTGATTACAAAATACAATTATTTATAATGTCTAAAATAATAATAAAATTAAATTATTAATTTATTTCTTATAGTTTTTAAATTTACTTGTAGTCATTATATTTAAAAACATACTTATATAGACTACATTTTATTTGGTTAGTCACTGTAGACAGTATGGACTAAAAGAAATTAAAAACAGATTAAAATATTGTGTAATAATAAAATATATCGTTTTTAAGTATATAGATTAAAAGTAAAATTTATTAAACTAGAGAAATTAAACGAGTATTCAACCTAATAACATTATAAGGCAAATTATTGAAAATAAGATCAATAATATTCTGATATTGTTTACTTATTAATATGACATTTCTATTTTTTAATATGATTTTATCATTACTGTTATGTAACTATTTTTTAGTACCGTAAAAAGAATTTGGATACACAGGAACAGGTCTCCATCAGTAAAAAAAATAAAAAATAAGAAAAATAAAGTTTATTTGCTTGACCTATTAAAATAGGGTTGTCTGATTTAAATCAAATAAAAAAATCATATTAAAAAATTATTGGTGTGATGAATTATATAATATTGAATTTTCTTATTTAAACTACTCATATTTTATGAACTATTTAATGTAATTTTTACCCCTCCCTACTATAAATAAGGATGCACTGCTATGAAACTCTCAACCTGTGGTGTTTGACAACCTAGTCAAAGAGAGAGAAACTTCGTCGAGTTGTTCATTCCCTTCTGTCTCATCTTTCAGAGCTACGAGTGCACTCTCAGAAACAAATAAATAGACAAAACAGGACCAAAAGAAGAAGAAGAAGAAGAAGAAGGAGAAGAAGAAAAACTAAATTAGTTATTATTATTATTCTTTAAGTTGTTTCACTAAACAGTTTCTCTGTGTTGTTTCAGTTGATTCATAAGTTCAATTCTCCCACGAATTTCGTTTCTATGTCTTCTGATCTCCACTCTTACGGCACCACTTTCCACACACATTCAAACTCAGACTTTCTCTCCTCTGATGGAGTTGGAGACCTTCCTTTTCTCTCCGATTCTTTTCCTTTCTTCCCCAATTCTCCCTCTAACGTAGCTCAAGACAATTCCAATTCTCTCCCTTCTCTCGACCCATTTTCCCCTTCTTTTTTCTCTTTCTCCCCTCCAAGTTCCCACTTGGAAAGCCTCAGCCTTTACCATGCCAACCGCGTGCAGCCTCTGTCAAATGGCCAAAACTTGGCGAACGAGTTTGGAAGTTTCTCAGTTCTTGATGGGTCTGAAGTGAAGAGTGAGGAATGCCAATTGGGTGTTGATTGTGTCTACGCTCAACAACTCCTTCCTCACAGTTACAGTGGTGCTGAAAATTTCTCCAAGTACATGCAGAGAAGCTTCAGCAGCAACTCCTTTGAAGGAAAACCTGGTTTTCTGTCACAACCTTTCGGCGATGCTCTTGTGGACTCTCCAAAATTTCAAAGGCATGACTTGAGTTCCCCTGAAGACACTCTCTTTAGCGGACAGATGAGAAGGGTTTGCAGCACAGGAGATTTGCAGGTAAAACAATAACACCAAGAATCTTTTCTGTTAGACTCAAATTCCATTATTAATAGGACCATGATTAAGTTGTCATTATTTCCTTCATATTTATTTATTTTTTCATTGTTCTTGTAAAGTTGGTTTGATTGAGGTTTGTTTTATATGTAGAACATGAAGGAAAATCACATGTCTCCAACGGAGGCACCGTTGTTGGAGGAATCGAACTTCAAAGTGGGACGTTACAGTGCGGAAGAGAGAAAAGAAAGAATCTCCAAATACAGAGCCAAGAGAACCCTGAGGAATTTCAACAAGACCATTAAGGTGACCAAAGAGTAACAAACACTATTTCCTTTTTGAACGATGTGTTTGTTAGTTTATACAAATAATGTCATCTTGTTTTGTACACACCGATGTTCTTTAATAGAAAGTTTGTGAAATGAAATTGCAGAGAGAATAAGGCATATGTTGTTGACACCACTGTAGTTAATAAAATGTTTAATATAATGCAGAAACAAAATTTGATTTCTGCAATGGACAAAAATAAGTTTGTTTTATGATTCAAGAATGCTGCAACGCATGAAATGATCACTTCGTAACACTTTTTCTTCCCATTAAATACGTTTGATTAAGAGAGTAACAGAAGCAGAAAAAGAAAGGTCTGAATTAATGTATCAGTTTTGTTTTTATTATGTGGTAACAGTATGCATGCCGCAAGACACTAGCAGATAATCGACCACGCATACGTGGCAGATTCGCCCGCAACGACGAACCCATCGACACTCCCAAGGCTTCATGTTCAACACGAGACGAAGATGATGTTGATTTCTGGGTAATTATTTGTCGTGTTTTTTGTTGTTTTCTCCATGGGTAGCATTTAATGGTAAAGTTAGCTTATCATCTAACTTCTTTAGTAGTTTATGTATGTATATATAAGTTAATTTTAACTTATACGAGAAAACTAACTCACTCATGTTACTTCTTAATTTTCTTTATATTTTAAAAAAAAAATACTTGCAGAAACTGATAATATTCAACTAGTATTATGCAATGACATTACGAAACACATTGTTAATTGCTTCAATTGAAGGGAGGTTGATATATATAATTAATGTTTTTATCATGCAGATTGAAGAATTGCGATTGCATGAAGAGCAAGAGGATGTAACAGTGGGAGCAGAACAATATTTGAGAAGCTATGGAGCAACCCAGTTTCAGTATGGTGGCTTTTGAGATTTAGAAGGAGCATATTTTTTATGGAAGAGCCTTTAGGAAAGTTCATGTTGTTGTAGTATTAAGTGCAGATGATTTTTTGTTTTGGTTTTTTCTTTTATATATATTTAATTAAATAAAAATGATCAATAAGTGAGTGTACATGGAATGGAATCTAAGATGTTCCATAGGACAAACATGAAATTGGGTTGTTGGACTAGGGTGCTCTTGTTAGTTTAGTTGTAGTTGCACACTTGCACCCCTATATATATATTTTTTATTCCAAGTTATGATTTACCAATTGAGTAGTGTGTACATATAAAAAAATATATATTGTTCCATCATCATGCCATGATTTTAAACAAAGGAGTAATTATGCTTTTATACATTCAACCTTTGGAGTGAGGAAAATTTTGACTAATCTTTTTCCTCTTGATTAGGTAACTTTAAATAAAAAATTTGACTAATCTTTTTACTCTTGATTAAGTAACTCTTGAATAATCAAAATTTGACTTTCTACTGAAGATACGAAAGGATGAGTTCAGCAAAATTATTATGGTTTGCACTACCTTAAAAGATGTTAGAGAAAAACTCTAAAACTTTATTCATTATTTGAAACGAACTTTTTCATAATAAAATTTATCACGATCTTGTTATGTATGAAAATTGTATTTGTTTTTTTTTCTTTTTTTTTTTTATGAAAGTTAAGTGTGTATTTAGTTTACGTCCTCCAAAAAGAGTACGGAGTTTATTCGTGTTTTTTTTAAGTATTTTTTTAAGAAATTAAAAAAATCTAATCTATTTATTTTTAAAATAAAAAATATTTTTTTCTGTTTATTTTAATAAGAAAATTTTCTTTGTTTTTTAAATAAGTAATTATTTGAAAATGAATTATTTTAAATTTAAATAAATTGGCTCATATTTTATAGATATTAAATTTTATCAATTTAACCATTGATTTTAGCAATTTATTTTACTTTGATGTATAATTACTGTTCAAACTATAAATGATTTCTGATTATAAGATTACAATCTTACAACTTTTTTATTTATCTAAAATTTTTCAAGTATGATCATTAAGATATTTGTACATATTTAACGGTTGAATTTCCTAGTTTAAATCTACTTAAGGGACATATTTAAAATTAAGATGAACCATACTTAATCACGATTTTGCAAAGAAAGTAAATAATCTTTAGTTTAGTTGTTGCTTAATGAAACAAATAAAAAGACGTCAAATACGAAAATGAAATGGAAAGTATATTGTATCCTGAAATGATTATATAGCAATTTTTTATTAATTAAATTTACCAAAATTTTGTAAAGTGGAACTCAATCTTCCAATTAAACATTAGTCAAACAAATTCCAAGCATAAAAGGTTGTTTTAATTAATATATAATTTATGTGTTTGTCATTTTAGTGCTGTCAAATCTTGCCCTAAATGATCATTTAGCATACAACAAACTCAAGTGTAGATTGGAAGAAAAATGTCCTTTAGGTTATGCTTAAGTTCATAAACAAAGCCTTCTGATATTAAAATTTTCATCTTTCCTAGGAGGTCAGAATAAAACACAACCCTAGCTAGAAGGAGTAGGCCATTTATATATTATGATTAATTTCAATTTTCAAACAATTGTTGATTTACACTGTCACTTAATTAATAATATAATAATCCATTTGAAAGTATCTATTTCAAAATGTTAAATGCTTTTTAACATAATTTAAGCAAAACAAGTTATTTTCTTTTATTTAATTATATATATATATATATATGAAAATAATTAATTAATATATTCGAAGATTAATTTCTGTCAAAATATTTCTTTGATAGAATTTTTTTTCTTACTATTATTACTTTTTGTCCACAAAACTCGAACTTAACAACTAAGTATCAAATATTATTTTCTAATACTTAACTATAAACAGTGAAACTGTTTTATAATAGAAAATACATATTTTTATATGACATAATATAGTATATATGATCTACTAAGTGAGATATTTTTGAAAAAAAGAAAAAGTTCTTAATAATAATAACAATAATAGTAGTAGAATTGGGCAGAGATAAATTGCCTCTTGGTTCCTATATTCTATCTTTAATAAGAAGCTAGATTCAGTTTTAGTTTTTTAATTAGGAGATATTTAATTAATTATTGAATTGAAAGATATAATAAAGGTATCTCTTTGTCCCTTTTCTTCTGTTTTGAATTTAAAAGAAGCATAAAGAGTTGCATACTTTGTTGTTGAGGGCATAAAGACACAAATTGATTGCCAACTAAAAAATGGCTGAATTATTGTGGCAATGCCATATACAATGAAAGGGTGGCATAAAGTAGGTAACATGTGTTAAGCTGCCATTTTGGCAGCAATACTCACAAACATGGACACAAAATGTATGTGAAAAATACAAGATATAGCTCTTACATGCACCAGATGCCACCATAGTATCACTTTATTTTGAAAATTACAAAAGAAAGAACTTCATCAACACAGAACAGCACAGTGAGTAGATGCATGTTTTGCTTTGCTTTCATATATTCTCTTCCTAAAGAATGGCATTTCATTTATGTAACAGTTGCCAGAGCAAAAGAGATGCTTTTCATTCCCTATAACTATATATCAGAACTCAGATTTTCAACTTTCTTGTACCCTTTTCATGAACTGATTGATCAAAGGCTGTATGATTTTGCATCATTCAAAAATTTGTTAAAAAACAAGGAGTGAAAGTGGTCTCACAATCCCTCGCAGTTAAATAATATAGCTTCCTGTGACGATAAGAAAGTGATAGGAGATGGAGGGAGACAATGCCCTTAATGGGGAGAGCAGCATGAGAAATTGTGCTAATAAAATTTATGATGTTATGCACCCAAATGATTCCGAACGCGCACTTTTGACCAGCACCACTTCAACACCCTATCATTGCAATGCTATAGATTATAACAAGATGATTAGCGTCTTGTTCCCTTAGCCTAACCCTATTGGAAGTGACCCTAAAAAAATTGTATTCCTAGGGATGCTTGGTAAAGATGTCCACTCACCCTTTGTTTAGTCCAAAAAAAGTGTTGTGATTGGTACATGGAAGGTTCCACCGATCGATCCATGTCCTTTGGAATATTTTGATTAGCAATGGAAAACAAAAAACACAGTGGCAGTGCAATTGTTTTGGCTTGCACACGAATGACACACCATAGTGGACATGCCAAGTTTTATAGTAATAAATATATGATCTGGCAGACAAGAGAAAAAGACATGTTATTGACGATGGAACTTTTGTCTGGGGTAAGACCGGAAAACCCCTCTTAATTGGCTTCAGTGGAGAATCCGGCACTGGTCAATTTGGTCTTCATAAAAGTCTGCGTTAATACTCTCCTGTCCCAAAACCACATTGCTCTTTTCTTCTAATTCTACCCAACAAAACTTCAATAATTTTACCCTTTTTTTATTCTCACTTAATTACAATTCAAGTTTTATATTTGATAATTTGGTTCTTTGGACAAAATTAGAGTGTTTTAACTTCGAATATTATATAATTTAAAATTTTATTTTATCTTTAAAACATATTTTTTTTATTGAATGAAGAAAATATACTTAAAACCTTGACTTTAAAACAACAGGACCAAAAAAATAGTTTAGTAATAAAATAATTTAAATTTAATAATAATTAAAAAAAAACATAGAACTTGTTTTTTATTTTTTATTTTAATTAGCAGGTTAAACATATTTTGTTTGTAAGCTTTGCCAAGCCCTTCTGGAATTGGAGGTTGTAATAAGTGTTTTATTTGTTGTTATTGAATGAGATTGAAATGCAGAATTGCATAAGCGAAAGGTTAAAGCAGAGAGAATGTCTGAAAAAAGTAGTCAAATGCTAAATCTGCCTAACGTGTAGGTCAAGATTCCTTCACCAACGTCTAAACTTAACCATTAATATCTTTCGTTAGTCAATAATTGTTAAACTTTTGTCACTACAACTACATCATCAAGTTGAATGCTAAGACAAAAATCAAAGCAAACTAATTAACTTATTCTGTTTTTCTTAATAAAATCTTATTATGTCTAAATGAAATACTAAACCCACGAACTCAGTTAGAAAACTAGATATTTAAAGTTTGAAAATATATATTTTTGTAAATAATTAAAAATAACTATATAACAGATCACATGATTAATTCAATTCATTATAATAGAATATATTTTTTTTATGTTATTATAAACATATAAATTATGATATAATCAAATATTAATTATTGATAATCTCGTTAACAAAAATCAATGCAACAGTGTAACATAGGTTGAATTTAAAAGCCTTTGTTACAAATTGTTTCTATCCCATCAGTGTCAATCGAGTGTTTACGGCTTCAATGGTATGATTACTTGGAACTTCTTTTATTTTATTTTTATTTATTTTAAAATCATTTAAAAATTATGATTAAGAATAAATTGAAAAATAAAATATTTAATAATTTTAATTTGCAAATGCTTTTTATGGAAGAGAATAATACATATTACGATAAGAATCTCTAGTTAAAAGTTAAAATTCAACATCTATGTTAATAAAAATGAATGATGTAATAATGTATATAAAAATAGAATACTAAAAATAGAAAATACATTTTATTAAGTTAACAAATATTTTTTAAAAACTAAAAAAAATGTAAAATTTAAAATTAATTTTTAAAACCGTGAACAAATAAGTCGTTAGTATTTTTGAAATACTATAGTAATCTTCGAAGGATGTACAAATGCAGCACTAAGTATTGGTGGATATTTGTTCCACTTATAGTTGGATTTAGCGGAGGTAACACATGAAAAACTAAAGTTCAAGTCTTTTTTTTTTTTTTAAATACTAACTAAAATTTAACTCTAAAAAAAATTACTTTCATGGTCAAATAGTATTAGAAATATTAAAATACTTAATACTAATTCCATAAAATAATCTTAAAAAATAAATGTCCACTTTTCCTTATATATATGCGTTTTTTTTAAATAGACTCATAATAAATAATACCAGTAATAAAACGAGTGGATCTTATTTGTTTTGGTCAATACTACCAAGAGTATGTAAGTTATTAAATGACTAAAATAATGTTTACTTTTTTTTTTTGGAGTGATATGGCAGAGTAATCTATTAGAAATGAAAGAATAGTTTATGTATTTTATTTTACAAAAATATTCTAATTAATAAATTTTTTTGAACAATCTAAAACATATAAATAGTTTAGCGTAAAGTAGATATGGATATAAATTACTATCAATATTACAAATTTTTTAGTTTAAAATATAATATAACATGAATAACAAAAATAAATTGTGATTTTCGAATATCTAAAATCTAAATACTTGATAATGCTTTTCATTTTAAAAATATATATATCATAGTTCAATAAGCCAACCTATTTATAGCCCATTTGATTCACGAACTAAGCGAAGTGGATTAGCATATCAAGTCATTTATTCTATTCCACCATTTTTTGTGATTGGGCAAGTCGTCAATTTGTCTTCTTGTTAACTTATGAAAATACCATTTTATCACCATAATCTCAATATGGTAAATATGTAAAATTCATGTTGAACAAAAACATAATTTTCCTTCAAGAATTTATCATAGGAATAAAAGACATGAAGTGGCTATTAACAATAGAAACGAAAGTTGGGCAAATCAAGTAAATGCTTATTTGTAGTAACCCAGAAAATCAATAATGAACTAGTTAAGATCAATTATAGAAGGTAAATTAATAAAAACTTTTATATCAATTATTGAAGATAAAAGTAGATTGATCATATAGAATAGTTCAACCAATTAACTATAAACATTATCTTTTTTTATTTTAACTGGTCTGTTTTTAAGAAACTTATATGTTATTGAATTTTATTTATTACTGATCTTAAACACAATATATTAGATTTGTTTGTTTTAACTTACTTTTGCATACATAAAATGTAAATATTAATTTTATAAATTAATATGTATTTTTTTATTATTATTACTACTTCGAATATTACATCATTATATTTAAAAATTAAAATAATATTTTATTAAAACTGATTTTCGCCGGATTGAACTTACAGTTAAATATATGAATCTTAAATTTATGCTTTCACCGGGATGCATCTGGTTATAAAAAGACTTGAAAAAAAAAATTGATGGTTGAGCTGGTTCAGCCAAGATTATCAGCAGTTACTTTGTGAAGGGCTATATGTTCATAACCTTGGTTGCTTGTTTGTTCACGTGAAGGGAAAAAAAAAACTTGTTCGTTCACAAGCATCAAATGATTTCTATGCATACAAATATTTTTTTAAGAAAAAGGCACTGAAGGTTGAAAATTCTGCGCATTTGATTACTTTGGTGAATAGTACTTACAAAGACGCCACATCGGTAGTCGTTTATATATAATCAGAGGGTAGGGCAAGTGCAGCAATCAGGTTGCGCCATATCTTCTTTTAAATAAGAAGTGTCTCTTCGCTGGATCTTTGGGCTTGCTCTTGATCTGTCCTTGGCCTTTACGCCCAGTACTGCACGGGGAAGAAAGTAATCATGACCAAAGATCTCTAAGTTTGTATATAGTTAACAGATCAATGTTCTAAGATCTTAAAAAGACATTTACAAAGGTAACCTACCTGTATTCCATATAAACCATCCCTTTTGCACCTGACATTGCACTCATGGATCCATGAGAACGACGAGCATTGTGAAGAGCTATTTCATCTGCATCTTCTTCCAGTTGTTCTAATCCAACTGCATCATCACCGGCACTCAAAACCTGATAATAAATACAAGTTAGTTACTTGCCAATCAACAACTCAATTCTAAGGCAAAAAGGGGAATGGTGATAAAAACCTTTCCAAGAAGTGCCAATTGATCCTCAAGATGATAATAGCTCAAACGAGGTCCTTCATCAGAAGGAGGTAAGCTTGTAATTACCTGTCAAGTATCATCGAAGCCCTAAGCATAATATATAGATTGAAATATTGACAAGGAAGTTATGGAGGCTGACATAAATTGCAAATTATCACGATTAGCATTGGGACAACTGATGCAATACGTTTTCTAAACTATTCAGTTCAACAAAATCAGGTAATTATGACCATGTATTTCGACAGAGATTGAGTCTAAATATACGAGCCAGTTTCAATATAATCTCTTTATGGAGTCAATCATGTGAACAAATAAAAAACCAGGGTTATATAGCAAGTATAACATACACCACCCGAAATCTTAGAATCATCCACAATTTCTTAACACTTAATAACTTTACAGTATATTTCAAGGACACAAGATTTAAGTAGCCAAAGAACATCAAAGCAAAGGGGAGCAACTGGTTGAAATTGTTTCACTTAAAAGAACAGATACTTTATGGCAAGGAGATTCAGCTGGTTCCAACTTATTCCGAGACAGCAAAACCATCCATCCAATTTAACACAGACAAATTTAAATAAACCAGAACAAATGTGCCTCAAGGAAAAATAACTAGAAAATGCAGCATGAAGTGAACCTAAAATACCTTAAAGCTGTAACCCTGGTCAATTAAAAATTGTTGCCTCTTAGTCGAGTAATACATCTCCTGCATACACAAGCACAGCAAAGTGTACATTACGGCATAAATATCCTTGTATAATAGTTCAACTTTCATTTTTTAATGAATGCAGGACGTTATGAGTATGTATACCTGGGTATCAGTTGAGACAAGGGAATAAAAAAAAGCATTATACTCCTCCTTACCCCCTGCCATCCTATCCTGGAGCTTTCCCTGGCATTTAATTAATTAATTTGAATGTCAGTCAATCCCATAAGCAAAATGCATTACTGACAGTCAACATTAAAAAAATGATGCAGAAGAGAATTTCCATAATCAATCAATCATCAATTGAACTTTAAGAGCGCAGGTAAAAAGGCATGAATGAGATATCATACTTCAAGAGGCAACTCAAAAATACATGGGTAGAAACATTTAGAAACTGACCTTTGCCCTAAGAATACGACCCAGACGCTGGGCTTCTTGTCTCCTTGAACCAGCATGTGAAGAGATCTGAATTATCACATTTGCTTCAGGAATATCGATTGAGTTGTCACCCACCTGAGAATATAAGAAAGCATGTGGAAATTAGATTATCAACTATCCCATTCTTTATTAAGATGTTAACAGGGAATAGAACACAAAGTTAATAATATCAACAAGAACTCGGGAAGCACCATGGCAGACAACTATGTAACATACTAGCTCTGCATATTGCAAAATGCTAGGCAACCCATCGAAAATCATGACGATATACCCATTCAAATGTTCATGGACATCAAGGTGCCAACTCAGTATGTTGTTTGACATATTGAATAATAGTAACACAAATAAGCCACAAAATAAAATTTAGGAACACATACCTTGGAAAGAAATATAGTATTTACATCTTTGCTAGTTTTGAATGCTTGTAAAATTTTTGTCCTCTCAACGTGGCTGTACATAAAACATTTCAAAAAATAAGGTTCAATGACAGCAGAACCCAAATTACAGCCTCCAATAAAAAAGGTAAATATATGCCCATGGTACCTTGTAGCACCGTATATCATTGGTTTGCGGAGTTTCATGGCATACTCAGTGAGAGCAAACAGATTATCAGCAAAGACAATAATTTTATCACCACGTGCCCTTTCATGGTAATTTATGAGAAACTCACACGCTCTGAACTTGTTAGGATTCATCACATAAAGTGCCTGGAGATGTAGAGATCATTGATTAGGATGACTGCACTAAGCAAGTAAACTAGGAATAAATTTTGAATAACTAAAACTTGTCATGAAAATATTTCAGTTCACAAATAATCAAAATTCAAAATCACTTCGACAGAATATGCATTCTATTGAAAAAATAATCAAATTTTCAGCATAACCCATATTTAATAATCACCAATTAAATTTACTATTGCAAAGATCTACAGTGTTTCAAGTGGCCTTGCCTGCCTCTTCTTGGAGTTCTCTTTCTTCAAATACTCAGCAAAAAACTCTTTTGTCATTGGACACCATACTTCAGCACACTGTACATTTGCAATAAATCCACCTTTTACTAGATCTAACCAATTTGCCTCGTACAGCTTGGGACCAATAAGGAAGTTCAGATCTGTAATCCTTTCGTCCTCTCTGACAAGTGTAGCTGCAATTTCAACAGTCAAGACCGCTCTTTTTGTAGAGAAAGGTTAAGGTCATGGTCAAAGCAACTACAAACCAAGGCAAAATGACATACCTGTGAGCCCAAGTTTACAATGAGATTTAGTGATACTAATGACTTTCCGAAACATATGGGCTGGTACCACATGCACCTGTTCATCATGTCAAGTTATTATGTACAAGGAACAATCCTCATTCAGGCAAGGAGTTTACAACCGTAAAGTTGTGCCTACCTCATCCATGAGCAGCAATCCCCATTCTCTGTTTCTTATTTCTTCAATGATCTTTTCAGATTCTTCCGACCGTTTACCACCAAAAGCAACCATATTATAGGTTGTCACAACAACTCCAGCATTTCCACGAAATCTTTCTTTGCTATCAGACGTGAAACGACATATATGTTCTTCTCGGATAGTTGACCAAAGTTTAAATTGAAAAGCCCACTGATCTACAGAAACAGCATTCGTTGCTAAACAGAGGCAGCTTTTTTTTATCCGGCAAGCAGCAGAAACTCCAACAAGGGACTTTCCAGCACCACAGGGTAGAACTATTATACCAGATCTTGCCCTGCCTGAGGTGGTAGAAGATAAATTGCACTAAGAAATAATTCAAATCCCAATGTGCAATCACTCATAGCAGACATTAGTGTTACTGGAGCCATTAAAGAAGGTTGACACTTAACTATGCTAGAGATAAGTTACTCTAATCCTTATCTTTAACATAATTTTTTAAATGTAATTTATGATACCAACACATCAATTTCCATAGTTATTAAAAGAGGAAAAAAGAAACACCGCCAACCCATTCCTAATGGCTTTCAATTGAAAAAAATCATTGACCAAATGTTGCACACTTTTAAAACATGTTATGAAGTCTGTATATTTTCTTCTACTAAAACTTCAATTTCCCTTTAACAAAACTACACTGGTTTTAAATTGAGGTTGAAAATTATATGCAAAACTGGAATGATATGTCTTTGATCCCAAGACTAATAATCCAAGTTAATTTGATCAAATTTCGGCTGAAGGCCACACTTAAACGTAGAATGGGAAGAGTGAATGGCTAGTGACATGTGTCCTTGAAAAGGCCCTCAACCTTACCATTTCCAAACATTTTACTAAGACTCTTCTCTTGATATGGCCGTGGTTGTGCTTGAGGCTTTAGTTCCATGTCAAGGTCTGGGTTCACCTGCAGCATTGAAAGTGTTATACAGCATGAATCAACAAAGAATAAACTCCACGATGATAAATTTGCAAGAGTTTAACATGTCAGTAAATGTATTGATTATAATCTTCAATGTATTTTGGAAGCAATTCCAGCACATGTACATAGAGCATTACTCACTGTATCATTTCTGAAGTCATACTCCTCCAACATGGGATAATTTAAAGCATTTGGCAAGCAACGTTGCTTTACATTTTCAACCTGTATATAAATCATAGAAAATTTTAATAAATCAGTTTCATGCAAAGCAAGGCCAGTTACTCTATTCTAATTTATGATAGCATAGCAATCTAGTCTATTCATGGAAATCGCTGTCATTGTATCTTTCCAAAAAAAAAAAAAATCTTAGAAGTTTCTTGTAGTAATACTAAAGAATGTTTTGGCACTACTATTTAAGTAAAGGAGAATTCTACAATATAAGCCATGCACTACTAACTGTCACAAGAATTAGCACTTATCAAAGGCAATTAAAAGCACTCCAAACAATGCCAGATCTAGATCATAAAGAAGTGAGAATATAGCATTAAAATGTATATAAAGCTAGTTCTGATTTTAATACATGTATATATATTCAGTTTATGTTTTCTTAAAATTAATATCCATTTTCTTGTTCTGAAATGTGAATGACCTAATCCAGCATCGCTCCTCTGTACCAAAACCAGATCATTGATACAATTTTGAGGTCTGCCTTGGGAATATAATGTAAAGTCTAAATAACATGGATATATAAAAGGAGATATTTTTTTTCATATGAAACACAAGACACAGATATGATTCAACATGAACAAGGAAATATGGAAAAATTTAAAAATCATAGAACATACCAAGCTGTTATACATGAAAAATTAAACTAAACCAAACATAAAATAAATTCATAAATCACAGAGATTGATTCATTAAACATATAAAAATGCTTATTCTTATCTAAATGTTATGGTATTCCAATGTGTATTGATATAGAAGTTTAAAAATAAAAGTAAAAGCTATTAAAAAAGCAGCTAGGCAAAGAGTCTTTGCAGTGTCTGAAATAAACACATCAGACATCAGTCCAACACAAAGGGTACTATTAAAAGGTTTTGTACTTCTTAACGTAAAAGGAAAAACAAACAGATCGAGAGCAAGAGAATAAACAAAAAAAATCCCATAATCTTTTCCAACAGCTTAACCTATATTACCTGAGAAGGATCAATTTCAAATGCATGTGCTTCTTTCTCTTCTGCAACCGCTGCCACTTCTGCTTCATTTAACAATTCATCATGAGTGCCTTCAATTTCACCTGCTGCTTTGCTGATTGTAAATCCATCTCCATTTACATTCTAATAAAAAAATAAACAGCAATTTGGGAAAGGTTAGCAATAGGAATGCACACAGCAAGAACAAAATAGTCTTGGTAATGTCAGAAAAAGCAATTCACAACCAAAATATAATTTTTAGAAAAATCTACATAAGGTGAAAAAGGTTATGAACACCAACTTAACAAACATGATAGAATTTTTATAGAATGTCCGAAGTAAGCACTAGCTTTATCAAATAAAAACCAGACAATAAAAAAAGGAGGTTAATCCAATTTTGCCCCACTAATATTCACAGACATGGAAATACTGAATGTAGTTACAGGTAAGGAGAAGAGATAATGCAGTGGGAACATAAATATTTCTGTACCCCCCACCGAGATCCATGTAAGGAAAAATCCAATTATATTATCTGGACATTATACAACAGGTTAACCTACACCACCCCAAACAAGCCGTAGCCCCACACCCAAAGAAAAAAAGAACGTAACACAAACCTCTGAAATAATCCTTGCTCGAGATATAGTATCATCCCTGAGCAATGTCTTCAATACCTGCCAAATATTGTATGATGAACCACATGAGATCTTATCACTCACCAGAGGAACTCAAGAATATGGCAGATAAAGTGAAAGCATCATTTTTATACCTCTGGAAATGGAGATTCAATAAAGTAGCGATTCTTCTTGAGCACAAGCTTCACCTTGCCATAATTTGCAGTAGAATCATGTATAAATTTAATCATCTCTTTGGGAAGCTTGGTCTTGGATAACTTGTTCAAAACACTTATAACTGTTTCAGTTTCCAGACCAACCGAAACAGCGGCATACAGAGAGTGTGGGGTAAGGTTGTACTCGTGCATAGACTCCGGCCTATTATCCATCAACAGCCCACATATCAAACACATTCTGCTGTTCCAACAACTAAATATGACATTGAGCGTGACTTATTCGTTCACATAGTAACAATTTCTACCTGCAAACAGGCTCAGCGATGGCGATGAGAAAATCATAAGCTTGTTTGTACAAAGGCGAGAAAGTCTCGAGGAATATGCGGCCATTGCCACAAGCCCATAGAGGCCGATTGGTGTGATCCTGTTTCAGCTCTAATTTACTAAAATCCTTGGTTTTCCCTTCTGTTTCAGGCGCAAAACCCTCGATTCATTATCACCGTGTGTGATACAAATAACAATCCCAAAAAACAACGCTCGAACACTAACCCTTCGGGATAAGTAACCCTTAAAATATTAAAACGAAAATGAAATGAAAATAAATTGTAAATGAACATTACCATCATCGTCGTATGCATCATCGCCGCCAAATACATCGTCGTCTTCGACGATTCCTTTTCGAGGATCATCCTGCTGCAAACAATGTTAGAACGCGAAATTTAGCGGAAACAGGAAAAAAAAAAAAAAATCAAAGATGAACTAACGAATTTGGAATAGGCCTTGAACTTTTTGAACGGAGGTCTTCCTCCTTTTTCACCTGCGAATTTCAAATTAGAAGAGATTATTATTGCATATGTTTGATCTCAAAACTATATTTTAAATTTTGGATGAATGCCGAAGTACCGTATCCCATGATTCCGATTATTTGTGTTAGGGAGTGAAATTCTTGTTTTGTTCTTTGCTGAAAGATTTTCTTTCTCTGTGAAACACTAAGATAAACGAGAACGTGAATGAAAACGCGACCGAATCTGCTTATTTACTTATATTGCTTCGTTTCCTCTAATAAAAACTGCGATGGTCAAGGCGGTGCAGGTCGCTTGCTTCCCCAACAATTTGGGCCGGCCCATAGCACCATTTAGTCACTTGAATGTATGTTTCTTCTTGCAACTCCATAATTTCTTCTACACTCCCATAATATATTAAAATGTTAAAAAAAATTTCGAGGTCAGTTTTTTAGGAAAACTTTTCCTATTTTCACACCACATCTTCGTATCATCACATGCTTTTTCGTTTGCGGCACCTCTTCACCTTCATTCAAGAATTATTTTCTCGTTAAGATTATAAATTTATCGGTGATTTATGTTTTGAATTGCATAATATATTGTTGATCCAAATATTTTATAGAAATTATATTTGTGGTATTTAAAATTGTTGAGTCCTGAATAATTTTTGAAAAACACAATCCAAAAATAAATTTTAAATTATGTTAATCCGAAACTCATTTCTGCATACACATTACGTTTTCATAAATATATTATAAAAAATTTCGGAATCAAATTTTTATAATATATTTTCAAAAAATATAATTTAAAGATGCGTTGGAAATATGAAACTTATTTCTTGATTTTATTTTGTTAGAACTGTACTTCCGATTTTTTTATTATTTTTATTTTATATAAAACCTATTTATATGATGGACAATGTGGGATGTAAAAATAAAGTATAGAAGTGCGTAAGAATTATTAAAAATCACCATATTATTTTCTATTTCAAATTAGTATTTAAAAAAAATAAATCATATCCTGAAATGATATTTATAAATATGTTTTGTCGGTATTTAATAATTAAAAAGAGTATTTAATTAATAAAATTATATATATATATATATATATATATATATAATCTATAATATTTATATCTATATTAATATGTACAAAAAAATTGTAACTATTTTTTATTTTGGCATCGTTTAATATTTTATTTGTTTTTAATTTTTTTAACTTTTCTCATTTATAATTGAATTTTTTTATTTTCTTTATACAATTAATAAATTAATCAATAAAAATATTATTTCTCTTTTTTTAAAACATCTTAAATTACACATTTGTATTACTTTTTTATCGTTAAAACACCCTGTTCTCTTTCATTTTTCATTTTCATATTTTATAGAAATGGTAATAAAAAATGTGGAAACACAAAGTTCACAAAAGTTTGTATCTCTGCTAGTAATTATAAAATATTTGTATCATAAAAATACATTTTCTAAAAAATATTCAAATTTAAATTAAAAAAATAACATTATATTAAAATAAATATATAATATATTAAATAAATTGTTTTTGCCATTTTTATATTTATTACCCTCTATCAAAATAATATGATTAAAAAATAAGCATACATGTATGAATTAAAATTATAAATATAAAAAATAATAATGTATATATATATATATATATATATATATATATATATATAATAACTATATATAATGAGATTCCCCTTTATAGTATTTTTTATATAAAAGAAAGAAAAAAAATCATTTATATCATAAAAATATAGGAAAAAATATATCATATCTATAAAATCTGAAAATTAATTTATGTCAAATTTTTTTAAAATAATATATTAAATAATATTTTGGGTATTTTAAATCATTTTAAAGAGACTCATTTATGTATATAAATAAATAAATGAAAATAATATATATATATATATATATATATATATATATTATTAAACTATTATAAAAAAATAATAATTATAGTTTAAATTAAAAAAATATTTATTATTAAAATTAATTTAGTTAATTAATTATTATAAAATAAAATTTATTATTGAAAAAAATACTTATCTCTTTAAGAGATAATAATTAAAAAATATATATAATTAAGTAAAACAAAAATATATAAATGTGACCTTATCTCTTTAAGAGATTATAATTAAAATAATAATGATAATAATAAAATGTAATTTTATTTTATCTCTTTCATTAAATATAAGTAAAAAAAATTAATTAATTATGATTATAAATAGGGGTTAGGGGGAAAGAGAGGAGAAGAAAGGGAAAAAGAGGAGAGAGGGAAAGAAAGAAGAAAGGAAGAGGAAGGAGAGAGAATGGGAGAGAAATAGAGAGAGAAAGGAGAGGAAGAGAAAGAGAGAAGAAAAAAGAAAAATAAATTTAAAGGAAAATTTTTGGTGTAATATCTTCAATTTTTAAGGTAGGGGAGAGAACTATTATCATTTTATCTATTTTTATTTTAATTATAATTGTGGAGCAATGTGTCCTTAATCTAATTCTATTTATTTATCTTCAACTACTTACTGATCTGCTTCTACATTTATTTATTTATCTCCGGTTATACACTATTTTTATTTTAATTATCTCCTATTACGTATTGGTCTTGCCTTAGGTTTATTTATTTATTTTCAGTCCTGCACTAGTCTTATTTATTTATCTCCAGTTACATATTGATCCTGTTTGTTTATTTTATTTTATCTTCAGTTATGTATCGGTCCTATTTATTAATTTATATTTATATTATTTAATTATTTTTAAATAATAATATCTATTTATGAATATTTGATGATATTGTAGATGGAGGTTGAACCTTAGGGATTGAAATGAGTAAATATCACTAAAAGAATGATTAAAATTAGGCTCATTTATCTTTACTAGTCACTACAATTTTAATTTAAATCTTCATAATATGGAATAAATGAAATATATTGAGGAAGTTGAAAAGTATATTTTATTTATCATTATAAGATTATATTATTTTAAATGATAATTCTTTTTCTACTCTTATTGTTATTTTTTGTGCATGTTACAACTAAAATATCAACATAAATAGATGAAAACATCAAGATAGAAGACACGTATCATTTAAAAGAAATTTTTTGTTTGTCAATTTTAATAATTGTTTCTGATATAAAAATAATGTAAACCTGTAAAATTCACATCTTTGTACATATAAATGTATAAACATTTATCTCGTATCTTACTTCTGTCAAGACTTAATAAAAAGTAGTAATATCTTAAAATATGGTTAACAACGTGAAAAAAAAGAACGTCACATTAGATGATATCAGAGCAAAGTTTCATGTGTGACATGTGAAATGAGTCTATCATGAGATCTTATGAATCCTAACTTATATAATTCCAGATGACAAATAAAATGAGGAACAACGAGTTTACAGAAGCGGTACAAGCTATCCGAAACATGACCACGACATTATTAAGGAACCAAAGACTTGAAAGAACCAATGAATCACAAAGTTTAGTTGAATTTAGGAGAAACAAACCTCCATAATTTTTTGGAGGTTATAAACCAGAAAATATTGAATTATGGATTAAAGAATTGGAAAAAATATTTCAAGTTATGACTTGTCCTGATGACCAAAAGGTGAATTACGTTGTGTTTATATTGATGAGAGAGACTGAATATTAGTGGGATAGTACCACGAGATTACTAGAAAGAGGAAGGATAATCATTATTTGGGAGGTGTTTAGAACAAAGTTTTTAGAAAAATATTTTTCTAATGATGTGAGGAGAGCAAAACAAATAGATTTTATGTAATTAAAGCAAGGAGCTATGACAATAGGAGAATATGTCTCTAAGTTTGAAGAGCTAGAAAAATACTCTGCATTTTTTTATCACCCTGATGAAAGAATGAAGTGTATAAAATTTGAGAATGGACTTAGGCTTGAATTAAGAAAAACAATAAGAATATTAGAAATTTCTGATTTTCCTACGCTTATTCATAAGTGCAGATTTTTGGAAGATTTTGAAAACCAGCAAAATAGTAAACCAAAATATTTTGGACCCTAACAAAATAAAAGGAGACAAAATGAAGGAAAACCCTACAACCCCCAATGGAGATCCCAACCCAGTAAATTTTCTGCAAGAAATTTTAATAACCGTATAAATAATCAACTCAAGTGTTTTAAGTGTGGGTAGGATCATTATGCTAAAGATTTTCATCTTAAAAGACTTGTTTGTTTCAAGTGTGAAAAACCTGGTCATATATTCTCTGAATCTCGACAACAAAAACCAAATTATAGTCCTTCTGCACAAAAAACAAGACCTCCAACAAAAAGAATAATGTATACCATGACTGAAACTAAAACCTCTCAAAATAATGATTTGATCCAAGGTATGTATTTCATCAAAGGCAAAATTTTAAATGTATTATATTATTCAGGCGCAACTCATTCATTCATTTCCAATGATTATGTCCAACACCTTGAATTATCAACTTCTTTTATAGACACTAGTTTGATTGTTTCAATTTCCACGAGTAAGTGTGTAATTACCAATAAAATTTGCCTAGATTGTCTTTTGTTCATTGAAAATAGAAAATTCCTTATAAATTTAATTTGTCTACCTTTATCTCAATCAGATGTAATCTTAGATATGGACTGATTATCTTCTAATCAAGTCCTTTTGAATTATGCAGAAAAATTAGTAATATTTTCAAATTCTGAGGATCTTTTGAATTTTTCTATCAACTCAATAAATGAGTCTTTGAAGAAGAAAACATTCAAGGATATTTGTTATTATTTTCTATGAAAGTAAAAGAGTAAGTCGATTTGAAAAATATAGCAGTTGTTTGAAATTTTCCTAAAATTTTTTCTTATGATATTTCTGGTTTGCGAGAGATTGAATTTTCAATAGATATGATACCTGAAACTGGACCAATTTCTATGACACCATATAAGATGTCATCTTTCGAACTGACAGAACTAAAGAAACAGTTGGAAGAGTTACTTGAGAAACAATTCATTTGTCCTAGTGTATCACCTTGGGGAGCCCCTATTTTGTTAGTTAAGAAGAAATATGGAAGTTTTAGGTTGTGTATAAATTATCGTCAGTTAAATAAATTCACAATAAAGAATAAATACCCTCTTCTTAG